GGGGAACTGAGGGAAGGGGCAGGGATGGGAAACAGAACATAGGGAGTCTTGGAGGGTGGTGGGGGAGCCCCAGGGATGCCTGTGGCAGGCAAGCCTGGCCCTGCTCTAGGCCTCTAAGAGTTTTCCCCAGCCCTGAGGTAGCTAGTATTCTGTTTAGCAACTCACACATTCAATTAATGGCTGCCTTAGGGAGAGCAGGAGATTCAGGTAGTTAAGAAAAGCCATCTCAGTTACCAGTCATTGCAACATGTAACCGTAATTGCAAGGCCCATAATAGTTGTATCTTGAGGATTACTTTTATGATGGCTGGGGAATTTGGGGTGAAACCAATTTAGAAGACTGAAACCCGAACATGTGGGAATTACATAATCAACATACAAAAATGCTCCACCCAAAATTCCTTTTTGAGGAAGTCTTCTGGAAAAGGAAATATCCAGAAGCTTCTGCTGATAACCAGAAACTAGTAGTTAGCCATTTTACATTTTCCTTTTCTCCCCACCTACAAGTTTAATCCTGAGAAATGTTTTGAGTAAAACGAGTCAGACCAAAATTCAAACAATCAATTTCTCACCTACACTTTCTTGTTTTAAAAAAAATCTATTTATATATTATTTATATAAATTTATTATGCGTGTGTGTATATCTATATCTATAGACTAGAAATAAAAATTAAAAGAAAAAGAAAAAGGTAAGAGAACCCGTCTGACCTTGATGGATATAAATCACTGGGACCTGAGGGATAATATCCCAGAGCTTTGAAAGAGCAGGCAGATGTTATCTCATAACCATTGTATCATATTTTAACAAAATCTTAGAGCACTAGGGAACCACCAGAGGATTGGAAAAGAATTGATGTGGTTCCCATCTTTATAAAAGACCCAGGAAACTACAGACCAATCAGCCTACCATCACCTAACAACCTTGGAAGATCCTGGAAAAAATAATAAAAAACAGATTTGTGAATATCTAGAAACAAATCATAATTAGTAGCCAGCACAGGTTTGTTAAAAACAGATCATGCCAAACAGATCTTATTTCATTCTTTGACAAAGTGACTAAAGTACTAGACCAGTGAAATGCTTTGGATTTAGACTTCAGCAAGGCATTTGACAATGTAGACCACAACCTACTTCTTGGTAAGCAAGAAAAATGTGGAATAGACAGCATCACCACCAGATGGATTTGTAACTGGCTGACAAACCATATACTCAACGCATAGTCCTTAATGGTACCACATCCACATGGAGGGAGGTAAGCAGTGGGATATCACAAGGTTCTGTCTGAGGCCCAGTACTCTTCAATATCCTCATCAACTTAGATGAGAGTGTAAAAGAATTCATCAAATTTGTTTTGAGATAACGTCTGCCAGCTCCCTCAGAACTCTGATGTTCTGAGAATCAGGTCCTGGTGATTTATATTCACCAAACTCATCAAATTTGCAGATGACACCAAGCTGGCAGGAACATCAAACACCAAGATAGGGTCAAGATAAAGAAGAATCTCAACGAAGTTGGATACTGGGCCCTATTTAACAAAATTAAACTCAACTGAGGAAAAAAAACCCCAAGGTTTTTTACTTAAGCAAGAAAACCCACAATACACAGGTACAGAATAGGTGGAGCCTGGCTGTCTCTATGAGAGGGAAAACTGAATTCCAGTGGACAATCATTTAAATGTGAGCTAGCAGGGTGTTGCAGTGGCCAAAAAAGCCAATGCAATCGTAGGCTCTATTAACAAAGGGATACAGTCAAGATCAAGTGAAGTGCTAGTACCAATTTATAATGCTTTGGTAAGGCCACACTTGGAGTACTGCAACCAGTTTTGGTCGCCAAGTATTAAAAAGATGTTGAGACTCCATAAAGAGCCTACAGAAGAGCAGCAAGGAGGATTAGGGGGCTGGAGGCTGAAATAAGTAAGAACGGTGGCAGGAACTGGGCTTGGCTAGTCTAGTGAGGAGGAGAACTAGGGGAGACATGACAGCAGTGTTCCAATAATTGAGGGGTTGCCACAAAGAAGAGGGGGTCAACCTATTCTCCAAAGCACCCAAAGGCAGGACAAATGGATGGAAACTAACGAAGGAGAGAAGCAACCTAGAACTAAGAAGAAATTTCCTGACACCCAGAACAAACCAGTGGGAACTGTTTCCCTTCAGAAGTTGTGGGTGCTCCATCACTGGAGGCTTTGAAACAGAGACTGGACAGCCATTTCTCTGAAATGATCTTGGGTCTCCTGCTCGATCGGGGGGTTGGAATAGATGACCTCCAGGGATCCTTCCAACGACGTTCCTCTGCAACACTCCTCTAGTGATGGAGAAACAGCCTGAACTTAAAAGAGGTTTTTAAAATCTTCTCACCAGAAGGAAAACTGCAGCCACCGGTGGGCTTAAATTTGGGGAGGGAAGGAACCTGCAGCAGCAGCAGCAGCTGACACGCTTCAGCCCAGTTGCTTCTCTGCTTCCAGGCCGTGGAGGGAACCGAATAGCCCGACTTGGTCCCGGACTCTCCTCCCACCTGCTGCCCTCAACTCACCTGCCAGCTGCTGCTTCGACGCTGGGAAAAGCAGAAAAGCCGCTCTGCACTCTACCTTCCTCCCATGAGTCATCCGGAAGAGGAAGTTCCTCTGCTCTTCTCCTCTCTTCCCAGCCTTTCTAGTACTTGATGGTTTTAACTCTTTAAACTCAACTACAGAGCCCGCCTATTGTAATGTCAGCTTTGTAGGCACAGATTTTGTCCTCTTGGCTTCCATCTTCGGATAGGAAACGCTTGTCCCGTCTCTACCTAAGGCGTCTGCAAGGTGTTTTCACGGATTAATTGCTATCAAAATGTTTTGACTTCTAGCAACCTACCTTTGCAACTGAGCCTAGTGAAATGTGATGCCACCTAACCTTTAAAAGATTAGCTATTTGTTCAGCCCTAAAAGTTAATGTTTTTTTATAGAATTACAGAATAAGCTTTCTTGGGGGTGTTTCTCATTGGAGACCAAAGCTTCTCTACACCCCAAATCTTTATGACTTATTTAATGTGGCTCCCAAGGATTTAGGACATGGCAACAGCATCAGGAGAGAAGCTCCAGGGGAGCCAGCTTCACTCCTGCTGGCCAGGGCTGCCTCCAAGAGCTCCTAGCATGAAGTTTGATTCCTGAAAGAGGAAATTGTATGACAACTGCTAAATGTTAAATGCCACGTGTAAATTTTATAAATTTACTTGCAGGGAAGTCTCCATTAGGTCACAGATAGAGGAAATTACACAGCAGGGCCTAGAAAATGGGGGCTGACAAAGGGGACAATTGTCAATATATGGTAGAAGAAACATTTGGAATAGAATGGAATACAATAAAATAACAGGGTTGGAAGGGACCTTGGAGGTCTTCTGGTCCACCCCCTCCTTAAGTAGCAAACCCTGCAAGGAAATGGTTGTCCAATCTCTTCTTTAAAACTTTGGAGTGTTGGAGCGTACACAACTTCTGAAGGCAAGTTTTTCCACTGATTATTTGTTCTGTCAAGAAATTTCTTAGTTTCTCTCATTTATTAGTTTCTTCTCCTGCTTTCATGTGCTCTGGGAGAATAGCTTGATTACCTCTTCTTTGTGGCAACCCCCAGATACCAAACACCGCTATCCTGTCACCCCTGGTCTTTCTTTTCATTAAACTAAACCTACCCAATGTCATGACCCCATCAGAGTCTGAGGGGGAAGACGAACAGCTGACAGAGAGCAGGGGAATGGCTCCCTTGGCTGTGGAGGAAACTAGGGAAGGGCAAAATCAGGCTGGGCAGAGAAGAAGAGAACAAGGGAGAGGTGGAACAAGGGAGAGGGGGTTCAGATGAAGACCAAGGCCCATCCCCTCTTCATCTTAGGGCACACAGGGAAGAACACAGAAGAGAGCAATGTGGGTTGCATGGCTTATGAGGTAGGAAAAGGCCCAGATCCCCTTCACAAGGCACACCTGGGGATGGAGTTTAAAGGAGAGGCAGTTGGGAGGGGTGTTTGGGAGGAACAAATGCTGAATTCATCTAGTGTTGTGAGTTTAGCCTGCATTCCTGACATTTCTCCTGTCTGTGTGAATTATTGCCATGCTTCTGTATATTTATCTGCCTTGCTGGAATTGTTAGACTCATTATCTTCCCCTTCTGGGGGGATTGATTGCAGTCATTCTGCTTACAGTGTTTAGACTGGAGTAATGGTTGCCTGAGGGAGAGCAAGCGGATTCAAGTAATGAAGGAAAGCAGTCTCACTTAACAGCCATTGCAACATGCAACTGTAATTGCCAGGCCCATAATAATTGTGTCTTGAGGATTACTTTTATGCTGGTTGGGGGACTCTGGGGCTTAAAATCTCTGTGAAACCAAAGTAGAAGATTGAAACTCCACATATGGGTCCATAATCAACATACTGTTGGGAGAATTATCCTTCTGGGTTCAGTTCCAAGTGGGAAAAAAGGTACTGGAAACATGGAGACTGTTTTTAAAGATGGTTTAATGATGGACAGGACCACATGGCTTGGAGCTCCAAAGTGAAAAGAACGATCACATGCTTCAAGATGTTGGGTGAAGGAAAAGAAGGGTTGAGATGCTGAGAGACCCTTAGTTATATGCCCTCTGTTGGGCCCCACCTTAGTGTTTCCTATTCCTGTGTAAGAAATGTATCCCATTGGCTATCAGACTCCCGGGGTGGAAGTCTTAGCTAACTTTGTAGGCTTCGTCTGGACCACATGGCTTCACCTGAGTGCTGGCTATGCAATCTTCCCAGGCCAGGTGTTGAGATGGGCAGAGGCCTTTGTTATGTAGAATACTCTGGCCTAGGCCTTAATGCCCCCCCCCCCCCAATTAACTTCTGCTTCTGAGGTGAGTTTCTGCTTCTGAGTTTCTACTTCTCTTTTTAGGGGAAATATTCTACCTTTTTAATATTTCCTTGGATATTTCATTTTTCTGGGAGAGGGGTGGAGGCAAACTTCGTACAATACAAAAGCACCATCCAAAATGCCTTTTTGAGGAATTCCATCTCCTGCAAAAGGAAATATCTAGAAGATTCTGCTGATAGCCAGAAAATGGTCATTAGCCATTTTCCACTTTCCTTTCTCTCCACTTATAATTTTAATCCTGAGAAAAGTTTGAATACAAAGAATCAGTCAATTTCTCACCTATACTTTGTGAATGGGAGATCACAAATGAAATTCAATCCTTCTCTAAACTCTTCAACTTTTGCCTCATGTAGATTAACTTGTGTGCACTAAGGGATGATTTATGCTTGAAGTAAAGTTCACAGACAGGAAATTTTAAAGGTTTCCCCACAGTGTGAGTCCTCTGATGTATTAAAAAATAGGAATTCCTACTGAAACTTTTCCCACAAACAGGACATTCAAAAGGGTTTATTATCTGTGTGAGTCCTCTGGTGTCTAATGAGGTGGGAATTCTGACTAAAACGTTTTCCACAGTCTGGACATTCAAAGGGTTTCTCTCCTGTGTGACTCCTCTGGTGTATTACCAGGCAAGAATTGTGACTGAAACTTTTCCCACAATCAGGACATTCAAAAGGTTTCTCTCCTGTATGAGTTCTCTGGTGTATTAACAGGTAGGAATTCTCACTGAAACTTTCCCCACAGACAGGACATTCAAAGGGTTTCTCTCCTGTATGAGTCCTCTGGTGTATTACCAGGTAGGAATTCCGACTGAAACTTTTCCCACAATCAGGACATTCAAAGGGTTTCTCTCCTGTGTGAGTCCTCTGGTGTATTACCAGGTAGGAATTCTGACTGAAACTTTTCCCACAATCAGGACATTTAAAGGGTTTCTCTCCTGTGTGTGTCCTCTGGTGTTTCACCAGGCTGGAATTATCACTAAAACCTTTTCCACAGTCAGGACATTCAAAGGGTTTCTCTCCTGTGTGAGTTCTCTGATGTATTACCAGGCTGGAATTCTCACTGAAACTTTTCCCACAGTCAGGACATTCAAAGGGTTTCTCTCCTGTG